TTGGACTATACTATTCCATGTTGATGGAGGCTTCAATCCACAAAGGATCTAAGCTCACGAAGATCAAGGTTGTGAGTTCCACTAAGGAACTAGCCCATGAAGGACAATGACCTGCGAAGGGTCCACGAAGGATCAATCAACCTATGTCATCATGGCATACGTCCACGAATGACTAACCCTAGTCGAGGTTGATCTTCATGAAGTACACGATCTCCGGGCCGTTACAACTTGGTTTCTTCACAATCTTAAATACTCCCAAACACCTAGCCGATCTAGGAGGCGCACACCTACATAAGTAATAATATTAAGGTTGCTTAGTGATGAATCACTTGCTCTTGTGCTTCAAAATATGATATCTTCCACACACAAACTCTCTCAAGATTTGGCATTTGGATTAGAGAAGTAGGGGTGGGAAGCAAAGAGGTGGCTTGATGGTTGGAGTAGAAAGCCCTTTGAAATCAACAAAAGAAGGTGGAGTTCTCTCTCGGATCACAGGACATGAGTAGGGTTTGCTTCGAGTGAATTGATGGGATAGGTGGGGTATATATAGGCTCGACCAAAAATATGATCATTACACACACTTTAATACAAGTCGAAAGCTTCAGGTTGTTAGCTCGGAATAGACTTAAAGGTGCCAACTTTCAAATGAATGGGATGGTACGACCGGGTAACATGTAACTACTTCAAAAATTCCGACCAGATGTGTTCAAAAAAAATTGAGAGGGCAACAGAAGAGGTTTTGCCAAATGCTTTGGTGGTTCCGGATGGAGTATTTGGCAGCTCCGAAGTGCTAGAGTTGCATGTTTGCAACGGCTATATCTAGACGAACTGCTCATCAGTTCCAACTGGAAGAGCTTGGCAACTCCAAGGTGTGAAATTTAGGTACATATAATGGAGAAAATGGAAGCTTTTGAGGGAATTGGAGTTTAATCTTTAAGCAGTCAAAGGAAGAAACACATGTTAGCAACCACCTTCCCCTTTATAGTAACAACATGTCAATGGACTAAATGTGATCTTGGATCAGTAAAATGGAAAGGCTAAGTCCTTGGCTTGTCCAACACTTGTCTTCATGAGAATTTGTGGGGGCACCTTTTATGTCCTTTGTTTCAACCTAAGGAAACTCCTGAGACACTTTAAGGTAGATAGCTTAGCTCACCTCTAGTGGTTTGTGCGGTAAGACATGAATCGCTCTTGGAATACCATCTCATTCTAGGTTGAGAAGACGACCATCAAATTACCAAAAATAAGTATTTAAGGAATTGATATATGAACCAATCATATATAGGCATTGAAGTATCTTCCTCATATAGGAATTGTTCTGGATTTTCCAGAGATTTGCTACTCATGTAATACCAAACACAAGTTTATCAAGAAGTATCTTCCTCATATGAAGGTTCCACATGCATTGTGGGTTGTACTCTATACGAATCGACATTTTCTCCTATGTGCATTTGTCACTATCTTCAAAATAACACTCATGCCAATGGTATATAATATTCACATATCTAGTTTTAGGAACATATTGGCAAACTCTTTACATGCACATATTTTGTTGCGAGAAAGGAAGAGCATCGGAGATGTCGGACCCTTAGCCCGTGTTTATTTTCATCTCTTTGAGTTCAGATTTCAATAGTTCCTTCGGTCTAAATCAACCTCCTTGATGTCTCCACTAGTCAACATCCTTTTTTAGTGAAACCAATTGATATATATACGTGTCAGTACAGCAAACACTCTCTTTACAAACAAGAGACTTTTATTCCAAAGGTATGATATCAAGGGTAAAAAGAGGATGTTTCCTTAGAACATGTGCAACTTCCACTAGAACATGTGCTTTAGTGTTTTAGTCCCTCTCCGAAAGCTGAAACAGGCCTCCTGAAAGTGATCTTTCTTCTAAGAAACTCAGTAAGAATCTTTGAGAGCTTCAAGTTAGTCCAAGGACATCTCAGAGCCGAAGATCAAGGGTTAAGGAGGCAGCCTCATACATGACATTCCGTTTATTCTGAGTAGGGCCTTCGAGCACTTGGACCAATGAGCCCACAAGTTATCCTTCCATGTCCCTGCACCGGGTACTTCCTCCGTTTCAATTTACAAGTCCTGCGCGTATACCTAGGTTGTCAATTTTATCACCCTAATATAAACTATATAACACAAAAATATATTGTTTGAAAATAGAACATCTGAAGTTTATATTGGTATATTTTTTATAATATATGACTTGTGTTAGGTTGGTCAAATTGACGACCTAGAGGCACATCCTGTAAACTAAGAGAGAGGGAGTACTTCTTACTGCAATCTCCTTGTCATGACAGCCTGCCATCAGCGTCAATCTTGGCAAGATGCCCCTTAGGCAAGATACACTTCTTCTCCTAGTTTGTTCCTCTCCTGAAAATAACGACTTCATCTATCCCCGCAGCATAGCCAAAAATTCGAGGCCATCCAGTTATTGCTTATTTGTTGATGAAACACATGGTCAACATTGGCTTTTGAAATTCATCATCATGACATACCCACTGGATCACCGACGCTGTCGTCAAAACCTCTGCCAAGTCACCAATAACCAAAATTGCCATCGTCGTTCATCCCTTGAATAGTTCGTCAGTATGTGCTGCAAATAACCAATCTTTGTGGGATCTTTACGTTCCAGATCACCGGGCAAACTTTTTATTCTTCCACCACATGCAACTGGCTCAAGCAGCTTGTTCTTAGTTTCAGTGATTATACAGTAATACGACCACACAAAGAATCATCCAGTTTTCTAATGATGTGTGGTCCAAAATCCTCTTGTACTCAAGAACTTGCTGAAATACGTAGCATTGCCTCCTTATCTCTTATCATTAAAATTGCTGATCTAGTAGCTTCACCTTCCATCAATCATTAGATCCATCTATCAACTCCCAGACCCTACATAGAGGATTTAGTGACTTTCAAAACATCGGACTAAGATTAATTCTATAGGGATCTAGTTCTATCTCCAAATCAACATATCATCAGCCGACTCAAACCTCTTAGGGCCTCTCTCATTCAAAGGATTTTTCATGGGAAATTCAAAGGATTGGTATATTTACAAAATTTTCCTATGTCTGGTCCTTTGATTAGTAGGATATTCTATAAGAATTTTTTTTCCACGAATTTGTTTGTACACATATCATAGGAAATTTAGTATCCACTAAACCTCTTGAAAAGACGCTTTGTTTTGAGTGTGCGGCAGTGAAACAAACCAAATCTTGTAGGATTCAAATATACATGATATTGCAATTATGTGTTTCTCATATTCATGTGTTTTTAGAATCATGTGAATTAACCTCCACTGAAGGCATTAGACTCGGCAGACAGCATGGGGTTCAACTTAATAGGCGTAAGTCTAAAGCAACATAGATTTGCAATACCCTTTTCTGACAAATCGTGCTGGCTCATCATAGAGTTAAAGACTCAGGAGGCTCGTCATCAGCCAAACTAAAAAGTGATAGTAGTTCGGCCCATGTAAACTGGGAAAAGGCCCTCACATTCAAGATCCAGCTCCAGACTGTTCACCTCAAACTGACTACTAGCTCCAGACTGTTCACCTCAAACTAACTACTGTTGCAAGGTCTCAGACAAGAAAATATGTGAGCTATTGGACACAGAACACCACCACCGATGATCAACTGCTGACCAAATGGATAAGATTTCGATCTCTACCAACTCTTATAAATCTTAATAAATCCCTGTTGAATGGCATGGATACTGTGCCAACCCCAAGTGTTGAAAACGCCTTTATACAATGAAAGGTATTGGCAGAACTGCTGTTATTGCCTACATACAAACTGTAGGGTTTAGCAGAGCCAGATTAGAACTCTTGACAGATATATACACTACTAATCGAATCCAAGCCAACCAAAATGGCCTTACAGTGGTGCACCTGATGAAACTAGTTTGTGAGCATCAAACTGAACTGCAATTTACTTGACTCTTGAAGCTTATTTGAGGTGAACCTAAGGTTCTACTGTCTGCAGCACCGTTTGTTTTACATTCAAATGGCCCATCAGATCAACTACAGAACTAAACATTAAAGCTCAACTAGAATGGTATCAACCAACACGAGTATATTTCTCACTAAGATAGCTCGTCGTCCCTTCTAACAGAAGGCTCAAATACTTTGCTAAATTCTGCAGTTACAGAACAACCTCGAGGATTATAGGCCGCAAAACGATGCAAATGTTGGGGCCAAGAAGAAACAGCAAACGGGCTAGGAACTCTCATGTAGGTAACCATTTGAAAAGAGCTCTTGTGCATACAGCTCTCGTCGAAATCCTAACCTTCTTTGAACCTCGGACAGAAAATGGAATGTGTAAGACCAACATAACAGAAACTCAGAAGGAATAATGGGAGCTAAGGGAACATGTACCTGTGCCCATCTTCTGAAAAAGATCCACAACACATACAAATCCTTCAGTCTATACTGAAACTTGTGAGATGAACCCCAAATACTGAAACTTGTGAGATGAACCCCAAATGACAGTTCTGTATCAAACAACTGCAACCTTCTACTGCCACGTGAAATCTTCTTCCAGCAGAATAATCACCATTTTCCAGACCAGTTCTGCCTCTAGCTCATACTTCTTTAGAAGCTCACATGCTAACAGGTTAATTTGCCTCACAGAAGCATTTGTGAGAATTAAAGATGACTAAGACAACAAATCATGTGGGGTGTATAAATATATGTTCAACCTGATATCACTAAGTCAATTTTTTTGGGTGCGCCTTGACAGTCATTGGACTGAAGCACCCAAAGGAAACAAAACCAAAGGTTTCCCACTTGGAATATGTTTTATTCTATAACCTATTTGTCCCTTCAACATTTACTGTATGAATTATACTCGGTCAGATAAACTTGCATATATTACCATGTGATTCAGTACTTCCATGACACTGATAGGGAATCATGCTTTTCACCATGTCTCTTTTAATACTTTTGGCAAACCTGATGTGGCATTACTTAACTGTAAGTTCAAATTCCATAGTTCTGGCAAAGGGAGGCAGCAAGCTTGAGACAACAACTGCACAACTTGCAAGAAAATCATCGGTATGGCCCCGAAAACCTGAAAATTTTCCATATTTATATATCAGAAATTTGTCAAATTTACAAGAGGATCATGCTATCAGCACAAGCGAAACTGCACAGGTGTACACCATCCAGCAACTAGAATCTTTAAATGTGCCATGAATGAAACTAAATTCTTTCAGGAAAATAATTCATGATACTCAATTACGAAGGATACAAGAACTCAAAATGCACAATAGAGTCCATGCATTAATAGCTATTCACTGTGTAGAATATTTATTTTGCGACAAATTATTGCATTCGAATGCAGATAGCCTTTGCATGTAAAGATGAAACTTGGTTTCATAGACAATAAGCCAAACGCATAAGAATACAATATTTTGTGTAGGAGCTAGGTATGCTGACTCCACAGAACAATCCTCTGCTTATGTGGATGTCAGTTTTCACCTCTAGAAATGAAAGAAATATAAAGATGAAATTAAATTAGTAATTTCCCATGCAAACCAATGGCCAGTTTTAAAAACTTCAGCTATTTACTGTTACTGTCAGAGCACTCTGGTTTGTCAAATCCCCACCCAGCAGAAAATCAACAGTAGCATTCTACAGAAGCCTAATCCGTAAGACCGTAACTACCTGAAAAAGATAAAACTTACAAAGATCTAATACATTGAAATACAACATTTCACTAATTCACAGTTCGATCAGACATGCTAGAGGCTGTGGAAATATTCTGAGAAGTACCCTATATACATTCAGTCAAAACAGACGCAACATTGTTTAATTGCAGGCAGTTGACGGGACAAGATCTTTCTGGAATGGGTGTCAAGGAACTGCAGACTCTAGAAAATCAACTGGAAATAAGCCTGCGTTGCATCCGGACAAAAAAGGTCAACATGCAAAACACTTGTTATATATACACCTCACAGGCTCCTCCAAAAAGACTAACAGAGAGCATTAATGTTTCTTTCAGGACCAAATCTTGATTGATGAGATTCATGAACTGAATCACAAGGTACTGCAACATTTATCAGTCTGAAACGTGTGAAATATTTCAGCAAACTGACTATTGATGGTTTATTTGCAGGGGAGTCTTGTCCACCAAGAAAACATGGAATTATACAGAAAGATTAACCTAATTCGTCAAGAAAATGCTGAGTTACAAAAAAAGGTATTGATTTAATTATGATAGTTGAAATCACACGAATAATTTCGATGATTGATTTTTGTTTAATTCTCTACTCAGCTCTCTGAGACGGAGGCAGCGACTGAAGTTAACCGAGATTCAAGAACTCCATACAATTTTGCAGTTGTTGAAGATGCCAATGTTTCTGTTGATCTTGAACTCAATTCACCGCAGCAACAAAATGATGTTGAGCATACTGCGCCCCCTAAACTAGGGTACATGTTTGTTTTTTTCTGCACAGGATCTATTGACTCTTTTCTCAGCTCATTATAAGTTTCAATCACAAATTTCTTTGATTATGACTTACATTAACTCTTGCAGATTGCAACTACATCCATGACGATCGTGGGGTATGGGATTACTCTTGTTGTTATTATTCTCAAGGGATACAATTCAGAGCAGCCAGAATACTCTTGGTTGTAAAGAACCTAAACCCATAGCAAGACATAAGTGGTTCGCATGACGACCGATTGATAAACGGTAGTGTAAATCTGTTACAAATAAAATGTACTCCATGGAAGGATTAATCTGTTGTGCAAATGGTTGTATTAGAACTATTTAACACATTCTGCGAGTTTGTTCAACTGCATGAGCGGCTAGCTTATTGACAAAAGGTGTGAAGTGTGGATTGAGCAAAATTCAGTTACCACTTTTTTCTGTCTTCATTCTTAGAAAGTTCTGTGGTGTGTGACAGGGTTTACATTTCTCCATTTCATTTGTAAGTACGCCAGTGTTTGCACGTTCACTATGCTAATAAAAGTATCACTCAGGCACAGAGAAATTAACTGGAAATAAATACTATGGCAAGAGAGCCACTAGCTTAGCTAACAGGTGGAAATACTTTGTCCGTTCATACATCACGGTAAACAAAGATTGTTGGTTAGCAATATTGACCTGATTAGCTAAAGGTTTAATAGAAAAATAATGATATATCCTGGAACTCGATGCCATGGGTCCCTATAGCTCCGGATATATAACGTGTATCTTTTTTATCAAAATTTTAAACTTTCACCAGAAGTTTCTTCTACGATCTTTTGTTAATAGTTAGAAATCACAATCATGAGGAACTACTTCAGAATACAAATCAAATGCTACAAATTTTGCGTCAAGTAACCCACATATCAGTATACTATAGTTCTTGGTCAAAGCATGAACTTTGACAATTAAAATACACCTAATAATACCTGAGGGGAGTAAATATTACCGCCACATCAATATATGAATTCATGAATAACAGGAACAGATTTATCTATAAGTTCGTATTAAATACAAAAATTGCTCCTCGATACTCCAGGACTGGTTCAACCATTTCTCTATTAAAATAGTTTCAAGTAAGTCAGGTTCTCGGGTGTACAATACACACGTATCTGTCAGCAGCATTTGTGATTCACATGCAGATAAAGAAGCTCCAGATCAACTGAATTTATCATACCCGGAATTCTTATCTTTAGCAATGTTTCGACAAATCATGTTAATTTGAGCAAACTGCACGAGCACTAAGGCTACAAAGTACCGATACATATCTATTAAAAATGATCTGTAAACAAATATAAATATATACAGAAATCGATGTCATTTTCTCATGAATATAAAGTGTCTTGTGCAACTTGTGATTTTCTTGTTGTGATCTGCATGCAGATAAAGCAGCTCTAAACCAATTAAATTTATTATATCCTGGATTCAAATATTTCTATAGATGAATTTCAGCAAATGTTAAGAAAAAACATGTGAATCTGAGCACTGGGCAAACAGAAAACTCAAAAAGAAAGTTAGGACACATTATCTAATTACATAGTAAGAGTGAGTGAAAACATATGTCATTTTCTCATGAATAATAGAAAGAGTATGTATTGTACAACTTACAATTTTCTTGCAAATTATGCAGTTGCTGTCTCTAGCTTGCCGCCTCCACTTGCGGAAACTAGCACAAAAGGAAATAAATAATTTAGATCAAAAGTGTAGTTGAAGTGAAGTAACTGGTACTGCTATTGTTGGTGATAACTGATAAGCTGCAGAGCCCCGAGAGTACTGGCTCTATGAAGTATTATCAGGCTTGTTGCCTAGCAAACAAGATGATGTTCAAAGGGAAAGGGAAACTTGTCGCAATGCAGTATATAGTATATTTCGAAAGGGAATATTAAATATATTAGTACCCAATCTGAATGTGCTTTACGTAGTTGCGTCACTACCAGATATCATGTTGAACAAGGAGAGAAAATGATGGGGAGAAATAATGAAAGTGGCAAAGGTTTTGTGTGAGCAGAGGGACTTGGTCTCTAACAAATTTGTAGATTTAGCCAGTATTTCTAGGGCCAACAGCTATCCGTATACATCCGATGCTATATAATAGTACAGAGCACAATTTTATTAAGTCAAAAGTTATATTAAGAACAAGGAAACCAAAACACCAAAATTCTTAACTAACAAGGAGAGATGGTGGGAAGAGTTAGAAACTACTTGATGTTCAAACTTCACCTCATTGTAGCAATACTACAAGCATCTCTTTCTTAGTCCATTCAACAAACGATAGGACAAAATAACATCTAACAGCATTCTGATTCTGTTGGTGCTCTTCACAACAGACAAAGGTGTCCAACCCCAGGTTAATACCACTGATAACACAAATATCTCCTGGACATCATTATGAGTTATCAAATCCTGAAGAAATTTACATCTGTAAAGTGTTATAACAGCTTAGCCAACTCAGATATACTCCTGAAAAGAGAGCACGTTGAATAAAAAGACGGCCGTTCAGGGTGTGACTCATATCCCAGTCCTATTTGAATTTGAACTAGGAGCCCTACATTAATAAGGAGTTCTACTTGCTGCAGAAGGAGGACAAGCAAGGAACCGTATAAAATCACCAGGTAGCAACCAGATCCAAGGACAGAGCAAGGAAGAAACAATTGTCAGGGCTTGAGAGGATAAGAGGTTATGTTCTTTAGGATTAGATTCTTGTGTGGGGCTGGGGCAAGAATCAGTTAGTTTTAAAAGGTTTGAGAGGGACAGTCCTTGTATTCTTTTGAGGCTGTGCTTTGAGAATGTGCAGTTAGCTTTGCCAAAGCTTTTCTCTCTTGCGTGATTGTTCACCATAATTTTATACTACAACATGATGCTTGACACATTGCGGATTTTTACACTCTACAGAGCTAAAAGAGATCTAATTAAGCACTAAAAGACATGTTTTTGAGAAGCTACCCTAACTACTATTGCTAAAAAACATTTGCTCACATGCTTGATGGCCAAGTATTAAGCTAAGGCAGCTCAGCTCTAGTTTCTTATCTGAACAGTATACAGTTTCTTCAGAGGTAATACAGAACTGTTTAGAATAGCCTTCAAGAAAGGACAAGCACCTTTGGCTCTCAGGTGTATACGAAAATAATTTAGTAATTGCAAAAAAAGTCAAAAAAATTGGAAACTTCGTTGGAAACAAACTTGACCTTCTGTTGTACTTATATTAAAAGTTTCATCAAGGATTGATTTTCATGGTATTCTGGATGGAAAAAAACTATATCAACACTATATAGAAGTTATTATTCACACTTTTTGTCCTCAAATTTTTTATTTATGTTTCCCTTGAAGACGACGCGAGTTTTTCCTTCGCGAAACTTTTTATACTAGTAAAACAGAAGGTCAAGTTTGTTTTTTAAAAAGTTTCAGATTTTTTTACTTTTTTCGCAATTACTATTTCTTTTCCCATATCAGGTGCATACACACCCGAGGGCCAAGGGGTATTTCCCCTTCAAGAACTAGAAAACAAACAGGAATACTTGTTAATATAACTTGCTCCTGGAAGAAGCTTTTTGTTAAGGCAGACGGCAGACCAGTAGAAGCCTCTCTACAAACCAATGTAATCATTTGGTTCTGTTGCAGAAGTCTGAACATCAACAAATGACACAGAGCCTCCGCCAACTCAAGTAGATTTGTACTAATTATTGCATATCGAACACAGAAATGTCAAAACACCAATGGCAGCTACTAAGGTGTACATGCAAATTGCAATGCTTGAATACAGAGCACGCCAACCCCACAAACCACAATTTCCACAAAGATGTTGGTCAAATCACAAAGAAGGACCAGTGTTGTATTTTCCTTTCCAATTGGTGAAAACTAATATACTTTGGCAGTAGCATGAAACATGCAACGGATCATGATGTTTAGTGAAACAATTCATCCATACACATGCTTTAAATTTTAGTGAAACAATCCAATTTTCCAGTGACCATTTTATACGCCAAACCTCCACCATTGCAATAATAATTGCCTTATCAAAATCTGAAGCTACTGCTGGTAGGAGCTAAGACCCTACCGGGTCTAGGGCGTAGGTTGTAGGGGAAGGAGGGGCCTGGACGTGGCGAAGCTCGCGGTCGCCGGCGGCAAGGCGCCGTCGTGCGCGAGAGGGAGAGGCGGCGGCGGCGCAAGAGGCGGCTAGGTTTAGGTCTCCCGGCTCCCTAAGGGAAGCCGAGCAAATAATGATTGCTTCTTGCTTGATTAGATTGATACATCTCCTCTCCTTATATAGAGAGGTTTACTTGACTCCTAAGCAAACGATCCTAATACAATAAGATAATTGGGCTAAGCCCCTAATAACAATAAGATAACTTGGTCCACAACCCACTGGGCTAAGCCCCCTAATTTCCGGTCATAACACTTCTCCCCGCCTGCACAAACAGCTCGTCCTCGAGCTGTAAGGTGGGGAAGCGCTTGCTGAACTCCTCGAGGTGATCAACCAGCGTCAAACACCTTCGCGACAGCTGGGGCGGCCAGGTCGGCGGCGACGGCGTCCTCCGGAATGTAGTCTGCAGCCTCCAGGTAGAAGAGTCGCAGGCAGACGTGGCCGGGCATGTAGGGCTCGTCGCAGTTGAAGCACAACCCTTGGCGGCGACGCTCGAGTAGCTCGGCCGAGGTGAGCCGGCGAAACGGGCGTGCCGCGGTCGCAGCGAGGGGTGCCGCGGAAGCCTGAGCAGGCCGACCCTGCGCGGGAACCTCCGGCCAGGGTAGCGACCCAGCGGCCAGGGACGATGATGCCTGCTGGATGGCCACCTCGCGGCGCTCGAACGCGCGAGCATAGTACATGGCCGTCAGGAGATCCTGGGGTCCCCGAAGCTCCACGTCCACGTGGATGTGATCCGGAAGTCCACTGACGAAGAGGTCGGCCCGACGCGTGGCATGCCAGGGCCTGGAAACGGTCGGCGAAGTCCTGAACCGTGGAGGTGAAGGGAAGGCGGCCTAGCTTTGCCAGGCGGCTCCCGCGGATCGGCGGCCCAAAACGAAGGAGGCAGAGCTTGCAGAAGCGCTCCCAAGGGGGCATGTTGCCCTCGTCCTGCTCGAGGGCGTAGT